TAAGCTGTCAGGCAGGGTATCTCTGTCTAACTGAGTTAACTGTCAGTCAGGTTATCTCTAACTAACTGAGTTAGCTGTCAGTCAGGTTATCTCTGTCTGAGTAAGCTGTCAGGCAGGTTATCTCTGTCTAACTGAGTTAACTGTCAGTCAGGTTATCTCTAACTGAGTTAGCTGTCAGTCAGATTATCTCTATCTAACTGAGTTAACCCTCAGGCAGGTTATCTGTCTAACTGCCTTGCTGTCGGACAGGTGTGGGAAGATCCAAAGAGAGTCAGAGTTTGCTGCCAGCGTGGACTGTGGTTGGGTGTCCTGGAGTGTGGGCATGCTGCTGGTGAAACCACTCAAGTGGACCTTCTCCACGCTCCTGGGGAGCAACAGGGTGCCACTGGAGGAGTCCTTTGTCATCTTTGAACTAATAAAGGTTTGTCCTGCTCTGTGTTTCCAAACAAGACAGAGAGCCTTGCACAAGTTGACACGAACCACTGATTTCATTTTGAAAGTAAAAAAGAAAAGTGTGACGTGCATGTTTATTCAGATCCCTATAATCTGGTTATGTTAGCATTAATTAAACCAACTTCTACATGCAATCTGGTTTGATGTAGCGCTATAAAAACGAACAATTATTTTGCAATTTTTTTGAGTATAATAATATTCATATCACTCCAATTCTCCCATTGTAGTACGTAGTGTTGGACTTATCTAATTCAATTAGAGAAGGATCCCATTCCCCATCTGGGGAAACAGACAAAAATATTATACCATGCACATAAATAAATACTTAAAAAAATAAGTAATTAATAAAGTTGAAGGTTATAATGGACAACAAACAAATAAGGTAATTATTACAAAGGCAAATAAATAAAGAAGCTAATTAAAAGAGATATATACATTTATGTTTTACTGTATAATTAAATTTCTTGTTTATTGTATCCTTTGGGGCAATTAATTATATGCTTATTTATTTATTGAGCATTTATTTATTTCTGTTTTTATTTTTACATATGGCAGAGTTGGTCCTCTATAGAGGTGAACCGCACTAAAAAAAAAAAAAAAATCTTAGGGTATAAGGCTAAAGTTAGGGATACTAAAAATATATCCTCAACTCTGAACATCTGCTGAATGATTTCCTGTTTGGATAACTTTCGCTTTGGACTGCGTTTTCTTTAGGGTTTGCAAAGTAAAGGGGTAAAGTAAACATGCATGCTGCAATTTTCAAAGTTTGTAGCAGTTGAGCCCATTGAATTCCCAATAGAGTACGCTGATGTGTGTTGTACGTACCTTTGCTAAAAAGCGTTAGAAATTCATCTGTAAGTCACTAAATCTGCTGCACTTGCCTTCATGTTTTGGAACCTTGTTCTTCACCTTCTTCAGGAGAAAGCAGCAGAGCTACTAAAGGTCTACCAAAACAGCGAATTTTCCAGCTGCTGCGTTGTTTCGTTTCAAGAACTGTGCACTCTCTCCTCGGACATCTGTGCTGATGAAAGCACCCTGTGCATGGCTCTGCTGCAGCTGCAAAAGGACAAGCAAGTCATAGTTTCCTTACACGAAGGAGAGAAGGTAAAAGAGATCTTTGACCCCAGAAGGGCTGCACAGTATGTGTCGATGTCATAATAATATTACTGGTGATAAATAAAAAAGATTTATAGTGTAATATACATGAAAAGTTAGATTCATCTTCTTTGGTAAAGACAAAACAAATTATTAAAGACTTCAGCATCTTATTGACAGTATAGAGAGCCTGAATGTCTGCAAATTACAAGATATTGTGCAGCCCCTTTACCTAAACTACAACATAATACTTTAAATATTGATGAATGCGTTTATTTTTTTATCCTTTAGATTGTGAAGTTTTGTCAGCCTGGACAGGAACGGGTGTCTCCAGTTAGTGATATAGATATTGGGATCTACCAGCTGCAGCGCAGTGAGAAACTTCTAGGAGAGCGTGTGGAGAAACTGAGCCAGGAGGCTGACAGGTAGATCTCAGACATTAAAAAAAACAATCCCATGTTTGGCTTCTTTTAAAGAGTCTTCCCAGGGTCTCCACAGGTCATTAAAAATAATTAAGTCATTAAATTGTTATTTTTTAAATTAAGACCTTAATTAAAAAATAAATATCAGGGTTCCCGGGGGTCCTTAAAAAGTCTTAAAAGGCATTGAATTCTTCAAAATAAAACTAAGGCCTTAATTGGTATTAAAATGTCTTAAATCAGTCTTTCGTAGGTCTTAATTTTTAAAACATAATAAATAGGATTATTTTTATTATGATTTATTTTTGTAATCTGAATAAAACGTTAAAATTGACAATTTTTATATCAAAATAAAGAAATAACGGCTTGCCAATATTGTTTCCGTCTCGATAGTTTTCCAAAATTTGAAACATTAGTGCAGTGGTTTATGTTAAAATAAACCTTTGGGTTAAGTTGGTGTTTCTTGTGAATTTGGTCTTAAATTTTTATTTCAACTGGCATTAAAAACTCTTAAAAAGTCTTGAATTTAACTTGCCTTATGCTGTATAACCCCTGAATATATATATATATATATATATATGAGAGTCATGTGTACTTGTTGAGGGCATTAAACATTTTTTAAGAGCATTAAAAGAGCATTAAATTAGAGTTACTCATTTCTGTATAAACCCTGAAACAGGTAGAGAAGCATTTTATATTTCGGTATCCCACATCACCACATCGTTACATCATACATGTTAGCAGATGACAAAATAAAAATTATAAGTGTATATCTGGAGAGAGGAACTGTCTTAATTGGATAAACTACTGAGGAAAACATCAGTTCTGTCACGCAACAGGCAGCTAATATTAAGGTGTAATAAACTTCACACTTCATCAATGATAATTATCCTAACAAACTTTTATTTCACTCAATTTTACCCACTGAAAATTGTTTCTAGGTGCAAAGAGGAAGCAAGAAGTCTGCTGCGGGAAGGAAAGAAATCACAGGTCATTATAAACCCATTCTAAAAAATGTTTTATGTTAACGCATTTAGCATTATTTCTTCAGCCGATTGCTGAAGATATCATGGCGGTCAGTTTAATTTCTTTGACTTCTGTCTCAAAGGCACTGCGGTGTTTGAGGGGCCGGAAGAGAGTGGAAAAGAGAGCTGACAGCTTGTTCGCACAACTGGAAACCATCAGGGGAATCCTGGATAGAATAGCCCAGTCGCAGACTGATAAGAAGGTATGGAGGGCTTCACNAAATTATAAGTGTATATCTGGAGAGAGGAACTGTCTTAATTGGATAAACTACTGAGGAAAACATCAGTTCTGTCACGCAACAGGCAGCTAATATTAAGGTGTAATAAACTTCACACTTCATCAATGATAATTATCCTAACAAACTTTTATTTCACTCAATTTTACCCACTGAAAATTGTTTCTAGGTGCAAAGAGGAAGCAAGAAGTCTGCTGCGGGAAGGAAAGAAATCACAGGTCATTATAAACCCATTCTAAAAATGTTTTATGTTAACGCATTTAGCATTATTTCTTCAGCCGATTGCTGAAGATATCATGGCGGTCAGTTTAATTTCTTTGACTTCTGTCTCAAAGGCACTGCGGTGTTTGAGGGGCCGGAAGAGAGTGGAAAAGAGAGCTGACAGCTTGTTCGCACAACTGGAAACCATCAGGGGAATCCTGGATAGAATAGCCCAGTCGCAGACTGATAAGAAGGTATGGAGGGCTTCACAGCGTGTCTGTTAAAAAAAAAAAAAGTGAAACAAAGGATGTGTTCGATTTCAGTGGCTTCTTCCTCCAAGGACCTGAATGTTTCCACATGATTTAAAACATTATGGTTGCCCAGACAACGATAATAACATCGTGCAGCGTCAGTGTGCTGATTTGGGGGTCATCTGTAGTATTAGTATGTTTAATGACCGATGAATTTTTACCTGATCGATAACGAAACTGAAAAAAAAAAATCTGTTTATGGTGAACAAAGTAACTGTTAGACCTTGATATAAAGGTGGAGAGCTGGGTACCACTGTAGCTAGCTGTGCTCAGTAGCTAACAGGTTAGCCTCTTTTAGCTGGGTCAGTTAGCCACATTAAGCTGCACTACTTACTGTAGTACTTCAACCACTTCGTTTCAACAACAACCGTTCCATGTTCCATTTGTCCTTCCTGTCCTCTGATCTTAATAGAAAGAATAAAAATAAGCAAAAAAAAATTTTTTTAGCATCTTTTTAAATGGCAGAGCTCATTCTTAGAACACAGTACTTTCTTTCAAGACTTAGAATGATTGTTTTCTACTTTCGGCTGTTTTAGATCACCAATGAACTTTTCAGTACTGTTTCTTTTTATTCATTTTTAATTTTTTTATAGTAAAGTGAACAAAGACTACACTCATAGGAATACAGAGTGGAATAAAGGTGACAACCACCAGGTGCATGAACGAATAAAAACAAATGTAACGTTATAAAAGGCGTAGAAAGATATAAGTAAATCTAAAGAATGTATGTATAAAAACACTATCTGCAAAATCTCTTATATTCAAAAACAAAAAGTACTTAGTTAAGCAATTTTTGCAAAATAGCGATTAAAAAATTAAAATCAGATTTATAGTCCCCACACTGCAGATATGTTAGAATCCGTCTTTAAAATACAGCCGAACCCATTTACACAATAACAGATAAAAACCTTTAGAGAAATCAAACATTACCGCCACATATCTGACTCTATAACCACTAAAAAAAACGTATTTTCATTAGTTTCAGACAGAACTATTCACATACTTGTATTATATTCAACTGCACTTCCAATATTCACCACTGGTCGGCGCCAAGTTCCTTCATCCTCTGATCACAGAGGAGCTGGCTTGCTTGAACTCGCAATGAATCCTGGGATATCAAAGGCTATGTAGGACACACCGAACCCTATCCTTAAATACAGGCAAAAACAAGGACACATTTGTTGGCGGCATAACGAGGAGTCTTCCGTTCCAAACAAACCTCTGCGCCACGCTGTGACGTAATCGGCCTACGGATCTGGTCTTCAGAGGACGCAGCCACTGAATTCAAACTCAGTAGAAGTGTGCCCTCATTGGATAACGCGTGTGCTTGACGTGTGCAGGTCATGCAGGCGTACCAGGCTGGAGTGGCCGCTCTGAGGCTGTCGCTCAAAGACGTGACTGTTGAACACGCCGAGAGCCTGGTGGATCAAATACAGGAGGTAGTCCTTCATTTAAAAACACAAACTGTGTGTTAAGATCTTTCATTTGAGTCTAACGATTTTTTTATGTGCTCTTATTTAATGTGAACAGTTATGTGACACACAAGATGAGGTGAATCAAACCATTTCCAGCGGCGTAACGGCTGCAGGTAAGTTGTTCCCTCTGTTTTATGTTCACTTTCATCCAAGGATTTCACAAAGCTTTAGCTTTTCGTATTTTTTTTCTGTAGATGAAGATATGGATGAGCTGGAGAAAGAGCTGACAGCCTTGTTGGAAGAGCCAGATGTGAGCCCTGCGGTTCTGCCTGCAGTTCCAACAAACCGCCTTGGTCCTACCGGTGAGCAGATCCTCAGCTCTCTGCCCGCTGCGCCTCGTGGCCCCTTAAATATTTCCACCGAGGTGCTAGAGGAAGATCTGAACCGTTTAACTCTATCAGAACCAGGTTTGCATGTTCAGATTTCTTCATTCCTTCCTGTTTTTTTTTAGAGCTGCTCCAAACATGTGATCAACTGTTTTCAGGATCTCCTCAGAGGAAGGTGACGTCGCCAGAGAAGAGATTAGAGGCAGCACAGTGATTTTCATCGACAAGCCGAGGAGGATGGCGGAGGCCTCTGGCGAAGGCGCCTGGAATTCGACATCCAATTCATTACAGGGCACTTTACTTCCTCTAATAAAGAGAAATACTGAGGAGGCATGCAGATTCTGACTATTATAGATCTACTTTTAACTGTTATAATTGAATAAGGAAGCTGCTGTGTAGCATGACACAAGCTGGAATGCTTTTAAAGGGGTTAAAGAATGTCTAGTGTTTGTTTTTATGTGGATGCTGGTCTTAGAGTTCTGTGCAATGAGCCAAGTGGCCTTTTGACCTCTGAAGATGAACCTGTGTAACAGAACATCATGCCAATGGATTCATTATAACCACGTTTGTTTGGCTCCCAGGGAGAGTTATCTCTAACAATTGAAAAGCGTATCCTAAGTGACTTTAACCAAATATGTTTATCAAAATAAAATTTATTTTAATCACTTGTCTGAAGATGTATTTATTATAGCAAGTAAAGATATGAAAAAAACTCTCTTTGTTTAGACTCATCCACGCTGCAAAATGTGTGTTGACCTATAAGTGAGGGATACAGGAAGTGATTTAAGGTTAGTTAAAGTTTTACAAACTGAATCACTGAATAGATTTATTGAGATCTTTATTCTAATAAAAAAAAAAACACTGATTGGAGAAATGTAAATATTTTATAATCACACCTCAAAGTATTCTAATTTGATTTTAAGTCATTTATAAAAAAATTAAACTAAATCATTTCAGTTTTTCTCAAATAAAAATGAAAAATCTGTGATCAACTAATATATTGGTTATCTATTAATTGGTTAATTTTTTTTCTGCTTATTTTTTTTAGGGAGGGTTTTGCTTTGCTTTTTTGTAGTTTTTTTTTTTAATATAAATTTCACATGACAAAAACGTAGTTTATTTTACTCCATTATTCCGAGGTAAATAGAGGATTAACCTCTGTACTGCACTTTACAGTGAAAAAAATATAAAAAAGATACTTTTAGTAAAATACTTTTTTTTTTTTTACCAAATTAGTTGATTAATATTTTAATAATCATGACTAATCTGTTTATATTGGCCCTAATAGATTTAGTTGTGAGTTTACCAAATGTTTTTTTCTTATTTTATTCCTGAAAAGGCCAGATTTATGAAAGTTCACGATTAACCTCCATCCTGTCAATGTGTTCTCACTAACTGTGGATCTCTGCAGTTCCTCCAGAGGAACCATAAGCATCATGCTCATCCCGCCCAGATCGTGTCATAGTTAAGATTAAAAAAAAGGAGCCAACTGACTAAAGATAAACAGTATTTTTGATCAGGTGTCTCTTCCTGATAGACAGAAATTATTAAAAGCTGCAAATCTTTCACTTATTCTCTGACCTCCCCTCCTTAGTGTGGCTGACGGGTTTCAGAGCCTGGATGGTCCCAGAGGCTATGATGTTGGGGGCTTAAATGCCCCTGATAGGGTCTCCCAAGGCAAACAGGTTCTGGGTAGCAGATCAGACCACGAGTGGTTCACAAAGGCTCCATGATGACCTGACCCGGCCCAGCCCAAAGGAGACATATTTCAATGATTATGTCACACATGACTATTAGCTCCAAAATCCTTTTAGGCAAACCACAAAGAAATAATAATATTATTATACTATTTAAACTAGAGCAGAAACAATTAATCGCATTAATCGTGATTTATCGATTATTGAAATAATCGTCAACTAATTTATTAATCGATTAATCATTAACTGGAGTATAGAGACTGTAAAACATGCATTTAATTGACAGAGCGACCCACTTAGAGCAGTAATTATACAAAAATTGTAAAATATATATAAAACTTTTAAATCCAAGATAAATGTTTTCTGCACAATAGAAAAAATTGTAGTTCACCTGGTTTGATATTGTAATGAACGAATCTTTGGCTATACGATTAAACGATAAATCTAAAAAATAATCGACAGATTAATCGATTCACCAGATAATCGTTACTTGCAGACCTAATTTAAACGTTATCGTTTTCCATTAAAAAGAACACAAGATCACTAAGGTGTTTTGATTAGGCCTCAAAATAATTAAACTAAAATCCAAATACATGTAATAGTAAAATAAAAGAGACTAAATACTTGGCACAAATTTATAAATTGTGCAAAGTATTTTCAATACATTTTTTTTAAAAATCTCCCTGTTGCCACTAGGGAGTGCTGCAGCACCTCCACTTCCTGCGGCCATGCAACAAACCCAAAAAAGAAAAAGAGAGAGTTCCCTTTATGTACTGATTGTATTCTTTAATGACAAGTGACTTTATTGTGAAAAGCAGGCTATTAAGAGATTTAAATACCAACATTTTAGTGGTGCGAATAGGTACAGAGTGCATCAGGGCTGTTTTTTTTTTTTTTCTCTCGGTTTCTATAATCAACCATAAATTAAAAAGACCTCATTACAAATCGACAGCCTTTTAAAAAGTACAGTTAGTGATATCACAATATCCAGCAGTGTTTTAAAAATGCCCTTTGTGTGACAGACCCAATCCTCCCTTGTCCGTCTTCAGACGCACTCTCACGCTCCTCCTCGCTCAAACGCACACAAACCCTCCCAGCTCACCATATACACATATTGCATTAAAATATGTTCAGTGCTGCTTTCCTTCTATAAGCAAAGGAAAAGTTCAAACTTCGACTCCATAACCGGCGCGTTTCAGTTACACATATTGCAGCTTCTACCTACGGTCATGTGAATATACAGACATCAAGTTAAAACAAAGACATTTGGGGAATAGTAGCTCGATTTCTTCACCTCTATCCTATGGAGCTGCTGACGTCTTGTTATATAGACTGTTGCTACTTCCAGCCGGGTACTGTTAAGGTGGAGCAAACCCAGATGTGTAAAAGGTAACCTACAGCCAAGGCTACTTTCGTACAGCAGGCACTGACGCAGATATTTGGCTGAGAATTGGTTGTATGCACCACATAAAGCAGATCCACCAGAGGGTCTAAGCGAAAGCTCAGAAGGGAGTGTAACAGCAAAAACTAAAACTAGATTAAAGTAAATTTGGCATGCTTTACAGTAGTCCCTTCCTACTGTGGATGAACGGAACGTAAAGTGGTGCATTTGTTAAAAAAAAGCAGGCTGCACAGTGGTTCAGGCTCTTTGCTCTTGTTGCAGGGTGATGGACGTACACTAGGGTCAGATGCATAAACCAAAACAATGCATATTTCATCTCCTGCACATTAGATGTGTGACACACACGTCAAACCGGATGCATTAAACTTAAAAAACAAAAAGATGTGCTGGAAGACATTTGTTATTAAGAAAACAACCAAACATTGATGTTGTAATATTACTGTTGTACTGTTTGTTGCTTTGAAGTTACAGTGGATTAATGTTGCATAAGTATTAGATTATAATCCAGGTTCCACAACTGAGAATAAACACATACCCTTCATACTTGAACCCTTAAAAGGCTTATGAACCTGATATATTAAAAGTGCATCAGCGTAACATTTTAAAACGATTTAGATTCACTGACTGAAGCAGTGCCTTACATACGTATTCATACGCCTTGGAACTTTTTTACATTCGCATCACAACCTTCAGCCTGTTTTAATGACTTCTGTGCAATGGGTGATTTAAATCACATTATTGTGAGATTAAAAAGAAAAAAAGTATAATCATTTAAAAAAACAGTCCATATAAAAGAAGGTTTTATGCTCATGTAATGGACTCTAATTTCTCTGATCCCTCAAAAAATTCCAGCGCATAATCCAAAAGTTCGACTATAACCAAGCTTTGAATATAGCGCTAATGGTAACTATGGAGGAGCTGCAGAGATTCACAGCTCAGGTGGAGGAATCTGATGTCAAGACAACAACTTGGCCCCTGCTCTAAACACAAATTATTTGTTAAAAGAAAGATGGTTGAAAACAGAAAGAAAAACAGAAAACAAACACTGCTGATCAACCTGAACACAGCACCGCCATAGTAAAGCATGGTGGAAGCTTGATGGAGCTGGATACAGTCCTCCTAGAGGAGAACCGAAGACCTCAGTGGAGTTTCATCTCCAGCAGCAGAACAACTTCACAACTATGAAGGTTTAAATCAAAAACTATCCATGTTTCCAATCAACGTCTCGACCCGATTCCTTCAGATTCAATCTGCTGCATTTAAAAGCTGCGACTCAAAGATGGTCGCCATACAGTTGTTCAGGTTTTAGTGTCTCGATGTGCAGAGCTGGTAGAGAAACACCTGAAATGACCTGCAGCTGAAACTACACTAAAAAAATGGTTCTCCAAAGAATCGACTACTTGAAGCCAAAAGTGTTTCTACAAAACTTTAAAAAACATACATCCTATTCCTTGATTCCAAAAAAGTTGAAAAACAATCCACTGGACTTTGTTTCCCAGTTTAAAGACATTTTGCTTCCCATTCAGGAAGCTTTTTCAATTCAAAATGTCAGAAATTTGGACCCCGCTCCGCTAATCTTTGACCTCTGGTATAAAAGCCTCGAACTTAACGCTATTTCTGATATTTTGAATTGAAAAAGCTTCCTGGATGGGAAGCGAAACATCTTCAAACTTAGAAAAAAAGTCCAGTGGATTGATTTTTTTTTTTTACTTTTTTGGAATGAGTATGACCTGGATGACTAAGAATCTTCAAGAATCTTTCTTTCTTTCTTTCTTTCTTTCTTTCTTTCTTTCTTTCTTTCTTTCTTTCCTTCTTTCTTTCCTTCTTTCTTTCCTTCTTTCTTTCCTTCTTTCCTTCTTTCTTTCCTTCTTTCCTTCTTTCCTTCTTTCCTTCCTTCCTTCCTTCCTTCCTTCCTTCCTTCCTTCCTTCCTTCCTTCCTTCCTTCACAATGATGCTCTGATTCTGCAGCAGTAAATTAGCTCCAAATAAACTGAAGTTTGTGGTTGAAACCGAACAGAATGTAGTAAAGTTTCAAGCAGTATGAGTATTTCGGCAAGGTTTATTATAAATCCAGCAAATGGACCGCATAAGCACGTTTCTGCCTTTGTGCTTATACTCTGTTTTAATCATAAAACGGAGTTTTATGCATCTGGCCCTAGATGAATGCGCAGCTGCAGTGTTAAACTGTCCTATCTGCTTCCGAGCGCTTCTGCACAACCTTGTGCTCCTTGACCTGGTCCACCGCCAGCGTCTCCAGCTCGGCCTGCGGCGGGGCGAGGGGCGGGGTGCCGTGCGGGATGCGGTGCGCCACGCCCACGTGGGCCCTGTACTGACGGTCCCGAGCGGGACTGTGTCGGGGACTGGCTGCCGCCCCCAGGGGAGGGACGGGGGAGCGGTCGGAGGCGATGGGGGGGAGGACGGGGAGCCGCTCACGCACCACCTGGTGCTCTGGCGATTCCCGGCCTGCCTGCAGGAAGGGCGTGGGGTCGGGCATGGCGTCCACCGGTTCCCTCAGGACCACCCGCCGCCCGTCCGGGCCGAGGCGGTACACCTCTGTGAGCTCTGGGT